AAAAAAAAAAAAAAAAAAAAGAGTAGGATTGGCATGATGTTAGCTCAGGGCTGATCTTCCTCACAAAAAAAAAAAATAGAAAAACAAAATTGCATCTCTGACTTAGAAGCCAAGAGCAACAACAAAAACCCAAACAAAATATGCAGGTGGATTCAAGACCTAGATGTGAAATACTTTCAGAAGAAAATACAGGAGCAGGGAAGGATTTCCTACATCAGACACAAAAAATGGACTACAAAGGAATAGGTGAAAGTTTTTATACTAAAAAGTAAAACTGTTCTTTAAAAGATACTGTTATATTGTCATATGTTTTTAAAACTTCTAAAAATTTAGAGATACAGACTGAAATATGGAGGAAGAAAATAATGCCTGGGATTTGCTTCAAAAGGATGTGGGGGTGAGGGAATGAGTGGGGTTATTGTTGATACAAGCTCAGCTCTGAGTTGGTAATTGTTGAATCTTGGTGATTCATCAAACTTTTCCCTTCCCTTTTAGTATATGATATATAGCTTTTCATAAAAAAGGAAAAAAGGAATATTATGACAGTAGGATACCAGTTTTCACCCACCATATTAGCAAACATTTTAAAATTTGATACTTCCAAGTGTTAACAAGAACGTGAAAAACATGTTATACACAAATGGTAGGAACATAAGTTGGCAAAACCAATTTGGAAGAAAATTTGGTATCTTCTACCAAAACTGAAGATGTGTATGCTTTACTACCCAGCTGTTCCCCATCAAGGCTAAATCCTAGAAAATCTTGCTCATAGAAACATGTACAAATATATTCATAGGCTTAATTGTTTTTAATAGCAAAAATCTGGAAACTTCCATTTTTAAAAAACATGTGACTAAATAGTGGTATATTTACATAATGGAATGAAAATGAATTTACTGGAGTTACATGCATCAACATGGATAAATCTTACAATCATATGGTAAACAAAAAAAAAAAGGAATTTGCAGAATACAAACATAATACCATTTCTGTAAAGTATAAAACCGTGTAAAAGTAAATATTGTTGTCAGGGATGAATACATGTAATAAATTTCTAGAGAAAAGCTAAGAAAGATAAATTCAAAATTCAGAATAGTGGTTACTTCTGGTGGGAGAAGGGAGGAGAATATAATTAAGGGCACAAAGGGAGCACTATAGGGACTGTGAGGTTTGCTTCTTAAGCTAGGTAGTTGGTACATGAGTGTACCTTATATTATTCTTTAGTCCTTTTGCATGTAATAAAATAATTCATAATTAAAAACATTTTTTCACAATATATACAAATATCAAATCATGTTGTACCCCTGAAATTAATGTTATATATCAATTATATCTCAATTAAAATATATATATAAATTTTTTCAGTAAAAGGGGGACATGGTGGGGGAAGTGAGAGAAGAGGCACAAAAGTACACATTGGGGGAATAAAATTCATTTCGGTTCAACAACAAACTTTTATTGAGAACAGATGAATGAAACCTTGCCTGTCCTACAAAGGGCCCAGTCATCTGCCAGAAGAAAAATGCTGATCCGTCTCAGAGCAGAGGTAAAGCATGAGCTCCAGCCAGACCCCTGACGAGGCCCCCATGTGTCAAAGCTTTGGTGGGAGTGCTTTTGATGGCAGGTGAAGGGTCTGAGCTTTCCTTCTCACCCCACCTGCTCCCTGCCCTCTCCTATTCAGAACGGTTTCTGGGTTTGAGTCTTCAATGACAGGCATGTAATAAAAATAAATAGAGTACAGTGCTGAATGCATCTTCATGTAGCTTTCTGAAGTGAACGATGTCCCTGGTAAAGAGAACTGCAGTGGAGTGAGTGTGAAGGACTCGATACTCAACTGGGAAAACCATCCATGCTGAGGCTTCCAGCTCATTAATCAGGTGAGTCGCCCCTTCAGGAGGAATGCATCTCTACACCAGTGCCCGATTCCAGGGAAGAAGACAGGAATGCACCAGGCTTCACATCCAGTTAGCCAGGAGGCAAAACATTGGTGATCATCTTGGTATCAGCACCTCTCCTCCCACCTCCTATTTCTGGCTTCCCCATGACCTTCCTGGGAAGTCCCCAGCTTCCTCACAACCTTCCTGGGGGAGTCCCCAGCATCCCCATGGCCTTCCTGGGGGAGTCCCCAGCATCCCCATGGCCTTCCTGGGGGAGTCCCCAGCATCCCCATGGCCTTCTTGGGAGCCCACAGTAATGGAAGCCTGATGGGCAATCTGATCCCAGGATCACATACAAAGTGCTGCAAACACCTGCTCTTTATGCCTCATCACATCTGCTGGAATCCACGGCCCTGCCAGGCCCTGGGCTCTCTAACTCAGTTTCCAGCTTTGTTCCAACTTTCTGGGTCCCCTGGTGATATAACAAGTGTTAGCTGAGGGCCTGCAGATCTGAAAGAGACGGAACAAAATCACCGGGCTTGTCACCCTCCCACATCTCTGTGTCCCCCAACAGGTCCCGCCTCTTCAACCTTTTTATCTATTTTACTTCCAAACCCACTGTAATATAATGGCCCTCCCCTGGATACGCTTATCGTAGGCCATTCTTTCCCATTATTTTGCACCTGGTATTTTCCCAGCTCTCAGTGGACATCTTCAACCTGACCTCAGTGAGAGAAACCTAATACTATTAATACTAATATGATAATAATGGGTAATATTTATTGAGGACTTGGCATGTGCTGGGCCTTGCCTGTTAGGAGTACTTTACATGTGCCAGGCCGTGTTCTGAACTCTTATTTAGTGTATATACTAATTGAGGCATATAGTGTCATTCTCATTGTACCAATGAGGAAACCCAGACACAGGGGTTACGTCTGTAACCCAAGTAACAGTCTCCTCCAGAAGCTGCATTTTGAACTATGAGGCTACAGTGGCTGTCTCCTAAAAGCCTAAGTAGATCAGATGCTCTGGCTGAACCCCCTGCCCTTCCTCCCATAACTTACAACGCATGACAGCTTCCTTGACTTGGCGAAAGCCGTGGTCAGGTCCCCGGCCGTCCACAAAGTACATGAATCGGAGCTCGGCAGGGTAGGCAGCTCTGGTGAGGCCTGACAGCAGGGGGATGGTGCAGCCCTCTGCCCCTGGGGCCTCAGTCAGGGCCTGCAGCATCTGGTACTTGCACCACGGGTCCCGGAGGAAGCCTGGGGTGATGAGCAGCACGCGACAGTGACTACTGCTCAGTGCCTGGCACAGCTCAGACACAATGGCGCCGCCTGGAGTTGCATCCCGGAGCTGCAGGAAGCAGCGCAGGCTGGCAGTGCTGTCCTCCAGATAGGAGACCAGCTCCTGGGCAGCCTCCAGGTCCTCCTCACTGTGGCACACGCAGACATCATAGTCCTTGCTCCAGCGGCTACTGCTGCTGGTGCCCACGTGTGTTGGTGGTGGGGTAGGAGACACCACTGAGCTGAGGCCCGGGGGTGGGTCGCTGTCCTGTGAGCTTGGCAGTGACACGTCACTGGAAGGGCTTTCTGGGGAGACGGGCACTTTCTTGGGCTTCTTCGATAGGGCCTGCCTGAACCAGTCTGCGGGGGGAGAAACACTGCTCAGGCCTGGTATTGTCACCAAGCGGCGTCCTCATAGCCCCGCAGAGAGGAGCCCAGGCTGGGGCAGGGCTCCAGCCTATCTCCCCTGCGCTGGCAAACAAGGCCGCTTTATTCTCAGAGACCTACTGCTCTGCTATTTTGTACATCTTCCAGGACTTGCCTAAAAGTTCCCACTATCTTTAAAGGTTTGGGGAATACATAAGAACTCTGGCTGTTTTAGCAGCCTGATTGGGCAAGTCGGCTTTGCCCTACTCCAGGCCCTTCGATTTCTAGTACCCCTAGCCTACCCTAACCAGAACTTCCCAGTAGAGCTGACCAGTCAACCATCTGCAAGTCTGTAAGTAGAGCTAGATTAACCTAGTAAGGATCAACCAGTCTCCAAACCCACTTTCAGCACTGAGGGGAGGTGGGTTTAGATTAAGGTGGGCTACCATTATGGGAGGGAAAGAGGGGGAGGGATTGGCATCTCTTTGGCCCTGTGAAATCCTAGATTATTGCTAAATGGGTAAAACGAATGGGTAAAAATGGAAGAAGGCTACTGCTCAGAGCTCCTCAAGAGCATAGTGATTCAGAACCTACACTGGAGTGAGGCACACAGATTTGATTGTGGACGTGCTGCTTGCTTTTGAATGACCTTAAGCAAGTCAGTCTATATCTCCATTTCCTTATCTGTAAGTAAAATGGGTTCATTTTAACTGTGGTTGAAGATTAATTGAGATAATCCAGTATCTGGTATACTATAAGTACTCCAGAATGATTTCAACTCAGCTTCCCAGCTTTTGATGGGGACAGAAAGTTTGGTGTTCTGGAGACTGATTTGTTTTCTCCTTCTGCTTGGCTCCTTCCTCTGAATGGTTCTGGAAGACGTAGTGACAAGAGACGCAGTGTAAAACACTCAGCACAATGGTTTCCAGGCTAGGAAATCAGCTGGGCACACCTGGAAAACCTGTGAGCCACAAGGGCTGAGGTTTCCACTGCTGCAGGCCTCCTCTCCTCACTCACCACAGAGCATCCGGACACTGAGGTCGAGGCAGGAGCACCACCCCATCGTCAGCCTCCCTGCATCTCTCCTCTGGGTTTGGACCAGGCGGGCCTCCCACCGTGCCAATAGGAATACTGAGGACTACACTCACAGAAACAAGGTGGAATTAGGAGTCCGCTTCCACTCACCAGCCATCTTGCCCAGAGGCTTCCTGGACCGGGAGCGAGGAGCTGGGAGGGAGGAGGAGGATGCCATAGTGTTGCGCTCAAAACTAACCCCATGAGACCAGGCATTGGTAAAGCGGGAGAAGGGAGGGGACCCAGTCTTGACCTCACGGAACAGCCATCCTACAAGAGACAGAGAGAGGATCACAAAAGCTGTACTTACCTTACTCTTAGTCCCAGTGGGTGGGCTCTGGATGTTCTTTCTCTCCTAATACCTGAAGAGGCTCAGTCTCTAAATAGGTTCCACAGACACCACTGCGATTGGAGCTGGTTTCTAGATAAACCCAGACCTGTCTAGTAGTGTCAGACTTACAGGGTATGAGCTCAGCATGACCAGTACAGTGACCTGTTCTCTGCTCCACCGGGCCAGGAGTGCATTCAGGATCTGGGGAAGGGCAGTTGGCAGGCCGCTCTTTCTAGGGACTTCCTGTGTAAATGCTGAAATGGGAGGAGAAGGACAGTTACTATTCGGACCAATAACTGTGTATCCAGGTAGACAGCTGCCAAGCAGAAGAGAGAACACATCCAAGAAACCCTGGGAGACTTTTCCGCTAAGTCTGCCTCCCTTTGAATAACCATCCCTCCCTCCCTCCCACTTCCCTCCCTTGGCTGTCAGCTCAGGGAGATAGTGGCACATAGTGGTGAAGACTGCACACTGTGCAGGCAGAGTGCCTAGACTTTCACCTCTTATTAACTGTGGCCCTTGGTAAGCTCCTTAATTTCACTAAGCTTTAAGATCTCTATTTGTGAAATGGAAATAACACTAGAACTTGCTTCTCAGCATTATTGCAAAGATTACATGAGATAATTTATGTAAAGTGCTAATGATACATGGTGTATAATGCTCCGAAAATAGTGTGGGTTATATGTATTTAAAATAATCTAGATATTGGAGAGATATATTATGTTCATGGTTTAGAAGACTCAGTATTATAAACAATTTTCCTCAAACTAATCTTTAGATCAGTGCTATCCCAAATTCCAGAAGGGTTTTGTTTTTTGGTAGTAAAGGTGTCAAACTCCTTCTAAATTTACATGGAAATGCAAAGGACCAAGAATACCTGAGATGAGCAACTTGCCATGTTCTCTTTCCACCACAATGACAGGGATGTCTCTGACGGTGGAGGCTCTTTCAGCCCAGGTTTCTGGGAGGATACTACATAGAGCTGAGCCCACCCTGATCTAAGATGGATCCTCAATGACCCAGTGACACTTCTGCAGGTGAAGGGCTGCTGGGGAACTTGGCTTGAGAACTATGGAGCAGCTGGCAGAGGACTGCTTTTTACTCTGACAGATCTGCAGAGGTCAGAACAAACCCTTGGGAACTCACGTGGAAACAACTTGGGTTCTCAGACACACTGAAATAAGGGATTTCAAAATTTAAAGGATGTCATTCAATGTGGAACAATAAGGCTTCATTCACCACTAAATGTTTAATACTCCTATGCCAAGCTGATGAATATAAGACAAGAGATACTGATGAGTCATGAAAATATACCCAAGTTCAAAAAAAAGAGGAGAACTTAAACAGCAGCAGCAAGGCGGGCAGAAAGAAGAGTTGGAGCGGGTGCAGGAACCAGAGAGATGTTTGAAAGAGAAAAACAGCTGCTAAGCCAGCCAAAAGGACACGCAAAGGTAAACATTAGCATGGACATGAGTTTCTTTTTCTACCTAATATTCTTCAGATTTCAGACCGCCTGAGTGGTGGGCTGAGGTTGAGGTAGTGCCTAATAACCACTGTTAGAGTTTGAAATCCTTTTCCTGGCCAGGAGTTGCTGTCTCTCTCGACATCTCCATTTCAACAATTCAGTATGTCCTTTTTCCCCCCAATAGTAGACAGAATGTCACTTGCTTTTTAGATTATTTAAATATTTTTTCAATTTTGTTTTAATTTTAAAATTCATTATTTGGCTTTGATACACTTACAAACTAGAGAATCATTTGACATTTTTAATGATAGCCTAAAGGTTAAAAAATTAACAAAACACTTTAATCTACTTAACAGATATAGATTTAAAAATTTCAGGGCCGGCCCAGTGGCACAAGCGGTTAAGTGCGCGCGCTCTGCTGCAGCGGCCTGGGGTTCACTGGTTCAGATCCCGGGCACGCACCGATGCACCGCTTGTCAAGCCATGCTGTGGCAGTGTCCCATGTAAAGTGGAGGAAGATGGGCATGGATGTCAGCCCAGGGCCAGTCGTCCTCAGCAAAAAGAGGAGGATTGGTAGAAGTTAGCTCAGGGCTGATCTTCCTCAAAAAGTACAAATTTCAGGGCCAGCCCCATGGCTTAGCAGTTAAGTGCACGTACTCCGCTACTGGCGGCCCGAGTTCGGATCCCGGGCGCGCACTGACGCACCGCTTCTCTGGCCATGCTGAGGCCGAGTCCCACATACAGCAACTAGAAGGATGTGCAACTATGACATACAACTATCTACTGGGGCTTTGGGGAAGAAAAAAAAAAAAAGGAGGAGGATTGGCAATAGATGTTAGCTCAGAGCGGGTCTTCCTCAGCAAAAAGAGGAGGATTAGCACGGATGTTAGCTCAGGGCTGATCTCCCTCACCAAAAAAAAAAAAAAAAAGTAAAAATTTCAGTTGCTCATTTTATGAAATGACTTGCCCTTTTGGCAATACAGGCCGATTTTTGGTAATTGCCTTTTTCCATCGCTTGGTTAAGAAGAAATCCAGTTGCCCAACAGCATATGCCACTGGAAGTGGGTTGATATAAGCCCTTGTGACTAATGTTATGGAAAAGTTTAAACACAGAAAATAACAGCATCTTTGACATAGGATAATTGAGCACGATGGCAGATAAGTTCCATTCGTGTACACTGTCTACTTCCTGGAGTTCAAATTCCCCTGCACCTTCCTTGTTACTTTTCAGTTCTTGTGCAGCTGTGGCTGTGGAGCTGTCACACTCAAATATGCTTTAATCTCTACAAGATTTAGTGATAGTCCTATATCGAGATACAGGAGACATAGCTGTCAAGCAGATAAGAAGATAATGAACCCAAATCCCCAACTGGAAGGTCTAATCACTAGCTCTATCTGTTCTCTGATTTGTTGTGTGGTCTTACATGTGGTCACTTTTCCTTGTGCTTTTAAAAAATTCATAAAGTAGAATGATAGATACCTAAATACATACTTTGTAGCTAATTACAAAGACTTGATTAAAAAATTAGTAAAGAGCTTCTTCAAAAAAAGCAACAGCGTGATACCTTTAGTGTTTTTTAGAATGCTTTTCCGATATTATATGTACGAACTTATTTTGTGAGGGAAATATTATGAAGGTTCACTGTATAAAATCCGAAGTGTGGGGGCCGGCCCAGTAGCATAGTGGTTAAGTTCACGCACTCCACCTCGGTGGCCCAGGGTCGCAGGTTCAAACCTGCACACTGCTTATCAGGCCATGCTGTGGTGCCATCCCATGTATAAAGTAGAGGAAGATGGGCACGGATGTTAGCCCAGGGCCAATCTTCCTCAGCAAAAAGAGGAGGACCGGCAACAGGTGTTAGCTCAGGGCTAATTTTCCTCACACACACACACACACACACACAAAATCCCAAGTGTATTTAATATTATGCAACATCTAACTGGTCTCCAATAGCTATTATATAGAAAGTGTCCTGAAACCTATGAAGCCATATGATTAGAATATACATCTTATATAATTCATATTACAATTGTGTTAAGTTGGAATCACTATCTGTGGTAGACAGGATCATGGTCCCCCAAAGATGTCCACATCCTAATCCTTAGAACCAGTGAATATGCTACTTTACATGGCAAAAACGGACTTTGAAGATGTGATTAAGGATCTCGAGATGGAAAGATTATCCTGGATTATGTAAGTGGGCCAAATGTAATCACAAAGGGCTTGTAAGAGGAAGGCAGGAGGGTCAGAGCAACAGAAGGGGATGTGACGACAGAAGCAGAGGTCGGTGTAATGTGGGGCCACGAGCAAGGACTGCAGGCGCCTTAGAAGCTGGAAAAGGCAAGTACAGAGATTCTTCCCTGCTGATCCATTTTAGACTTCTGACCGCCACACTGTAAGATAATAAATATGTTGTATTAAGCCACTAAATTTGTGGTAATTTGTTATAGAAGCAATAGGAAACTAATATACTATCTTTGATTGTATGTCAGGCTAATGAATGGAGAAGGCATTGAATTTGAATGCTAAAAACTGGTCTGTTTAAAAGTTTAAATTATTTGAAAGAGTTTTTCACTTCTTTGTTGAATAAATTATCATCTACACCACTTGATTTTGACTTTAAATTAAGAACACTGGTTTCAAAGGCTAAGTTTCCTTCTCAAACACTTGGTAAAACACTTGTCAGGGCAGGATTCATTAGGACTTGCAGGACAATGTCACTTAAAGTGCTGATATAATTGTTAATAGCTTGATAAGCACAATATAGTGTTTCTAAGAGTGGTTTTCGGACTGTGATGGACACACCCTAGCATAGCCCCCGTGTTCACACCTGTGAGTTCGGCCAACAAACAACAAGCTGAGGGAGCATGGCAGTGGATCCTTCCCCATTTGAGTCTCTGATGGCACCATAGCCCCAGCTAACACTTGGACTTCAGCCTCATGAGACCCCAGCAGAAGACTCAGCCGGCCTTGCCTGGGCCCTTGACCCACAGAAACTATGAGATAATAAATAAGTGTTGGTTTACGCTGCTAAATTTGTTATGCAGCACAGAAAACGAATTTCTGTGAATTGCAGGGATCAACTGCAATGATGGTTTAAAATGCGAGTTCCTGCACTCCATCCCAAATTGACTGAATCAAATCTCTGGGCGTACGACTTGGGAACGTACTTTTTAAACCAGTACCCCAGGATTCTGATGTACCTAAAGGCTAGTCTAGTCGGCTACATCAGTGGTTCTCAAACCAAACTGCAGATCATTATCACCTAGAGAGCTTTAAAAACTATAGATACCCCTGGAAATTCTTATTCAGTAGTTCAGAAGTGAGGCCCAAGAATCTGTATTTTTTTACGAGCTCCCCAGGTAATTCTGATACAAGTTGCCACTAGTCTCAACTTATATTGTTACTTATATCTATAAGCAGTGGAATAATTGAAAAGTGCCCAGCAAATCTTGGAATTGATTTTGTGAAATAAGTTCTAAACTGGTGATTTTGCTAGAAAGTCAGATTTAAGATCGAACTCTAGCAGGCAGAAAACAGTCATAGAATTCTGGTTAATTGACTGTAGTCTTATGACTTGTGTTAAAATAAAGCATGTTTGCTAAATACATAGCAAGGCACTTATGTTTTCAGCACTACATTTCATAAATTGTGGAAGACTTTAAAAAATGTCAAAGTCTTCCAAAATTTACAAAATATATATATGTGCGTGTGTGCATATTAAGGCACCTAATATTTTAAATTTAATTATAAATCAAAAGTACTTTACTTTGGTTATTAAAATCTAAAAACTTAGCTGTATTTCAGTCCCATAGGAACATATCTTACAAGCAAACATGAACAGGAAGCAATATAATTAATGTTGCTATATTTTGCAAAAAGCAAATTTGTCTTTGGAAAACTTCAGTTTCTTAGTTTTAAAAAAATTCCCTTTGTTTTGAAGCTATATCATCTGTATATTAAAGGTCATTTTTAACTAAAATGATGTGAATTTATTTTGTATTTGCTTTGCTGTAGGTCTCACGTAAATATGCAGGCACTGAATGTGATATAGATTGTCAGCAGTGAATTTATGGATGGATACAGTTTACAAATTATGCCAATTATAATATACCCTTATACATTAGTCCCCTTTTGAGCTTACAGAATGACTACTTTTTATATATTTTTGAAAAAGGCTTTGCCAGGAGGGTTAAAAATACCTAAGATCTTAAAGAAGAACAATGCTGAGGACTTCCACTACCAGAATAATAAAGACTCATAATAAAGCAACAACAATTAGGGCAGTGTGATATTGATACAGAAGGATAGGCAGACTAATGGAAGAACAGGGTGTCCAGAAACAGACCCACATCTATACAATCTCCCGAGTGTTGACAAATCTGACACTGCAGTGCAGTGGGGAAAGACGGGCTTTTTAATACATGGTGCAGGGTCAATTTAGATAGCCTTGTGGGAAAAAATGAATCTTTACCCATATTTCACACCATACAAAAAAATTAATTTCAAATGGATAGTAGCTATAGGTGAGAATAACAATAAAGCTTTTAGAGGAAAATATAGAAGATTATCTTCCTGACTTTGATTATTTCCTGATTTTTTAAATTGAGATATAATTGACATATAACAGTTTCAGGTGTACAACATAATGATTTGATATATGTACATATTGTGAAATGATCATCACAATAAGTCTCATTAACATCCCTCACCACACATAGCTACAAATTTTTTTGTTGTTGTGATGAGAACTTTTAACATCTACTCTCTTAGCTTAGCAACTTTCAAACACAGTATTATCAGCTATAGTCATCAGGCTGTACATTACATCCCCAGGACTTATTTATTTTAAAGATTTTATTTATTCAGTTTTTCCCCCCAAAGCCCCAGTAGATAGTTGTATGTCATAGGTTCACATCCTTCTAGTTGCTGTACGTGGGACTCGGCCTCGCGTTGGACGGAGAAGTGGTGCCTCGGGGCGCTCCCGGGATCCGAACCTGGGCCGCCAGCATCAGAGCGCGCGCACTTAACCGCTAAGCCACGGAGCCGGCCCAGGACTTATTTATTTTAAAACTGGAAGTTTGTATCTTTTGACCATCTTCACCCATTTTGCCTACCCCAGGGTAGACAAAGATTTTTTTA